CAAGAGACTAATCTTTCTTCCTCAGACTCCCAAAGAGTTGGGACAACAGACACCAACTCAATGCTTGATACCATAGATTATTTTAATTCTAGTCATTATTATCGGTATAAAGTATTATCTCATTGTGGTTTAACTTGTATTCTGTGATGACTAATGAAGTTTAAAAACTGTTCATGTTTATCAGTGAATTGGACATCCTTTTTTATGAAGAGCTTGCTCATGTTTTTTGCCCTTAATATAGTTGTCTGTTTTTTTTTCTTTTTGATATATAGTAATGCAATATTTATATGATACAGTACATATATACATATATATGTTATATTATGTTATGTATATATTGTGTTATATATAATATTATATTATGATATATATATGCATATATATATATATACACACATATAATTTTTGTTGTTGCCATTGAGGGCTCATTGAGGATACAGAGAACCGGTTTACACTGATTGTGTTTGTTAGGTAAAGTCTCACCTCCAAAAGGTGTGTCACACACCATGATACCCTACATTCTCCTTTCTTCTCCCTCTCTCTTTCACTCTTTCCCCTCCCCCACCCTGTACGGGGTCATTAATTGTCCTCATGTCAGAATTGAGTACATTGGATTCTTGTTTCTTCATTCTTGTGATGCTTTACTAAGAAGAATGTATTTCAACTCATTCAGGTTAATGCAAAAGATGTAAAGTCACCATCTTTTTGGTGGCTAAATAGTAGTCCATGGTATATATATACCACAGCTTGTTAATCCATTCCTGGATTGGTGGGAATTTAGGTTGTTCCCACATTTCAGCAATTGTAAATTGAGCTGTGATAAACAGTCTAATGCAAATGTACTTATGATAAAATGATTTTTTTTTTCTTCTAGGTAGATGCCCAGTAATGGGAATGCAAGATCAAATGTGAGGTCTAGTTTTAATTCTTTGAGGATTCGCCATATATTCTTCCAAAGGATTGTATTAGTTGGCAGTCCACCAGCAGTTTAAAAGAGTTCCCTTCTCTCCACATCTATGCCAGCATCTGCAGTTTTGAGATTTTGTGATGTGGGTCATTCTCACTGGGGTTAGGTGATTTCTTAGGGTGGTTTTGATTTGCATTTCTCTGATAATTAGGGATGTTAAGCTTTTTTTTAATGTTTGTTAGCCATTCATACATCTTCTTTAGAGAAGTTTTCATTCATCTTTCTTGCCCATTGATATATGGGATTGTTGGCTTTTTTATGTGGATTGATTTGAGTTGTAAGTAGATCCCAGTGATCAAGCTTCTGTTCAGTTCATAATATGCAATTATCTTTTCCCATTCTGATGGACATCTATTTGCTTTGGTTGTTCTCTCTGTAGCTATAAAGAAACTGTTCAGTTTAATTAAGTCCCATCTCTTTACTTTTCTTGTTGTTAGAATTGCCACTGAAATGTTTTTCAAAAAGTCTTTCCCCATTCTGATAATTTCAGGTGTTTTCCCACAGTTCCTTCTAGGATTTTTATTGTTTTATGCCTTAGAGTTAAGTCTTTTATCCATCTGGAATCAATTTTTGTGAGTGGATAAAAGTGAGAGTTCAGTTGTAGTGTTTTACATGCGCTTATCCAGTTCTTTCAGCACCATTTGTTGAATAGGGAATCCTTTCCCCAGTGTATGTTTTGTTTGATTGATCAAAGACTAGGTGGCTAGAAGATGGAGTTTCATTTCATGGTTTTCTATTCGGTTGCAGATGTCTATGTCTCTATTTTTTAGGCAATACTACAAGGCCATAGTACTCACAGCAGCAAGGTTGTGGCTTTTTGCTTTCTTTCTGTTTCACTTTTTCAAATTAAATAATCCCTACTGCCTTATTCTCATGTCTACTTTTTCTCTCTCTTGCAGATCAGATCTGCTCTTGAGCCTTAATCTTTTTGTTTTCACTTAATATTTTATAAGGCTTCATTATCATTCTTTTTTTTATCCTTCTCTACATTAGTTCAGTTCCTTGAACATGTTTATAATAGCTGATTTAAATTCTTTATGTATTTATTTTTGACACAGAGTATCATTATGTTGCCCTTAGTAGAGTGCCATGACATCACAGCCCACAGCAACCTCAATCTCTTGGGCTTAAGTGATTCTCTTGCCTCAGCCTCTCAAATTGCTGGGCCTACAGGCTGCCACCATAACACCCAACTATTTTTTGTTATTGTTGTGGTTGTCATTGTTGTTCTTGCTGGCCCAGTCTGGGTTTCAACCCACCAGCCCTGATGTATGTGCCCTAACCACTGGGCTATGGGCCTCAGACCCTTTATGTGTTAAAATTAAATCTGACACATGAGCCCCCCAGGGACAGTGTCTATTGGCACCACTTTTTTTGCAAATATAGGCAATTTTTCTTTATTCTTTGTGTGTCGCAAATTTTTGTTAAGTCCCGACATTTTACATAACATAACATAAATTGGAATTCAGATTCCCCCTTCCCCTAGAGTATAATGTGCTTGCTGTTTTTATAGGGTGCTTAGTGGCATTCTGCCATAATGGCTATAAAGTCTGTATTTTCTGTAGTGTGTTGTCATAAAACTGCTTCATTAGCTAATGATTGATCTCAGATTTCCTTAATGACTTTGAGCCACTAAGTCTTCCACCCTTTACTGGGGGCACTGTGTGTGTGTGCGTGTGTGTGTGTTAGGGAACTACTTTCATGCTCAAACAGTTTGCAAGTTTCCCTTAGCCTTCTCTGCCTTCTGCAGGGCTTTAAGGTCAGCCCATTCATGGGTAAAGACATGGCTTTGTCTATGCATGTGGCCCTCCATACATTTAAATATGTCACAGTATTTAGAGACCCCATATTAAAATTTTCTTCTTAGGATGTCCATTTAAAAATTGTGTCATAACTCTTCTTTGATCCACATGTACTATGACCTTAGGCTGTAGCACCACTGAACAACTGAAGTTAACTTTTTATGACTACTGCCCTCAGTCTTCCTTCAGAGTCACCTTAAAGGAAGAGTCATGATAAAGAATGGGTGTTGGCTCAGCGGCCTATAGCACAGTGGTTATGGCACCAGCCACATACATCAAGGGTGGCGGGTTTGAACCCGGCCTGAACCAACTAAAAAACCATGTTGACTGCAACAATAAATAGCCAGGCATTGTGGCAGGTACCTGTAATCCTAGCTACTTGGGAGGCTGAGGCAAGGGAATCACTTAAGCTGAAGAGTTGGAACTGGCTGTGAGCTATGAAACCATGGCCTCTACCAAGGGTGACACAGTGAGACTTTGTCTCAAAAAAAAAAGGTGGATGTTAATCATGGAGCTATAAGACAAGCTATAGAATAACACTCTTTGGAGAATAGGGAGTTTTCAGGATTTCCAAGCTTCTATGCCCTATCTGGTTCAAGGCTTGTGGTTGAAAGGTTGATGTATTTTATGAATAGCATTTTTTTAAGCTGCTATGTGTTGTTAATTTCAGATTAATATGAAAGTACAAATGATGAGGTTACACTGTTTGCATTTCTTAAGTAAAGTTCAAGTTGTAGTTCAGCCCTTCACCCAGGTAATATGCTGTATACACTACATTGTGCACCCTAAGTGTGAGCTTACCAATCATCCTTCCTCTTCCCCTTTCCCATTTGCCTCTACCTACCATCCCATTTAAATACAATTGTGTTTTTCTCTCCTGTAGGTGTGTAGTTGTTAAGAACAATGTGTGAAACATATTGTTTAAAGTGGATACAGACCTGGGGAGAGAAGAATGGGCATAGGCTGAGTTAAAACTTCATAAACCCTACTGTATTTACTGAGGTTGGCAATTTTTTTCTTGAATAAATGTTGGTCAGAAAATTGTAAGATATTGGTTCACTTCTGGAGTTATCACAAAGGCTGATTATGACAATATTCATATTGATTTTGTGGAAGACTGAATTTACCAAAGCTTTCACTGTTCTGGAAGTCCCACCTCATGACTGCATTTATTTTTGCACAAGTATCTTGTGAGGGTAGAAAGCTCAGCTGATGCTCTATGAGGGAGAAAAAAATAATTTTTTTAGACCAAGAACAGGTTATAAATTTTATTTTAACTTAGAAAGGGAGAAGAGAAGGAATAAAAAAGGGAAATAGAGTAGGGAAAGAGAGGGAAAAACCATAGAGGTGATGTGATATCTCAAAGAAAGAATGTCTACAGTTGTTGATTTTAAGGGGAAAAAAATAATTTCAGGCAAATTTACAAGGTATTGAGCATGTGTATGCTTTTTTTTCCAGCAAGTTTGAAAACAGATATTATTATAGGTGATTCTGATCCTGAGGCCTGATGATCATAATCCATTATGCATTTCAGAATATATTCCAGGAGCATTTCAGAACAAATTCTAAAAGGTAGATCTACTTAGGAAATCTAGCAATTGGAAAGGAAACTACTATTTCCTTTGGTTTGCTAGGATCCTCAATGGTTTCTGAATAGAAAACTCTAGGACTAGAGGGTGAGCTAGTCTAAGGAAGAAAGCAGACAGAGACAGTATTGATTTTTGACCTTACTGAAAAACTATGAGTTAATAACTTCTCTGTTATTCCACTATAAAATCTGACCATCTTACAACTCTTGAGGACAAAATTTATTAATCTTACAAGTAAAAACCCTAAGTTTTCTATTGATTAAGTAGCTTTCTGTGGGTTGTTCATATACAGTTGGAATTGTTACTCAAAGTTATTACTGTTTATTAATGCAAAATATTGCATCCAATTTGCTCTGAAGAATGATTAAAATCCTGACATGCCCTCAAATTATTTCTAATGAACCTCACCTCCATGCTGTCATCAAATATTTTAAAAGAACAATGCAATCGGAAATCATTGGAATGTTGCTAACACAGAGTTTATGTTCATCTGGTTGTAGGTCTGATTTCTAGATGAAACTGAATGCTTCTATGTGCTTAAGTCAGGGTCTTCCAAATATCTTTATCATTAGTGACTTGCCTATAAGTCAGTCATGTTCTAGACATGCATACATAGCTACTTAAATGAGTGAATAACCAAATTCATAGATGAAAAGAAATAAAATAGTGAATGGGACCACTAGCAGTTTGGAACTTTACTTTTCCCATCAAAGAACAAAAATTTTGTGCTTGAGGATCTCGAAGTATCAGTATCAGGGGGCTGAGGGTGGGATAACAAGCAGCCAGAAAGTTGGTGGTATGCTGTAGCCAGGGAAGAGATGTGAAAAAAACAGTATTATACAGTGTAAGGATAGAATTTATGAAGTAAAACAAAATGAAGGTGGTTGCCAGAAGCAAGATGGTCTGAGTGGCTTTTGCCTCAGGGGAGAGCCTGTGGGAAGTGCTGAAGGTGTGAATATGCCTCACTCTCTGGTGGTGTCTGTGTAGGAGGAGGACCATGTAGACACTGGCCCCAGCCATGAGTCCCATGAACACAACATCTGGGAAAGTCATTAGAATTGTGTAGATTACAGTAGAAGATAAGTCTGAACTTTTAGAAGAGCAGAAAACATAATTCTGTGTCTTAGTAAAATTGTGGATATGCTGAAAGGCATGAACCTTTATAGAAACAATGATATTTGTCCCAAGGTTGGAGATCCAGCAAAGAAAACAGGAGAAGCCAGTGTTCTTCAAACCTGTATCTTTGAGCTTCATCCACCCCTCAGTTCTAGGGCTGATGGTGATGGCCTGAAAACTGCTCAGGTGGCAAGTAGTGCAGAGGGAAAGGCCCCGGGCTATTCTGTGGATATAATAGACAAGTTTACATGCAATATTTCCCAGGATGTTTGTCACTCCCCAGATAAGTATCATTTGAGGTATCCATTTGAAGAGAAGAACCAAGAGGTTGGCCACAGCTAGGTTGGTGAGGATTAGGTGTGTGGGTCTTGGTGTCAGGCTGGTGCAGGCTTGGAAGGCATAAGTTATGAGAAGAAGGGTGTTCCCCATAACCCCTATCACAGTCTGGACCATAAACAGTAGCATCAGGATCAAATAACCAGCCATCATTCTCATGAGATCATGAAGAAGTTGTTCAGAAAAGAGCCTGAAGGCCACAGAGTTAGAATTAATAATTACAGCACTAGTCCCAGATTTGGTCCAATATTCCCTGTCATAAGAAGAACTCCTGGGCTCTCACTGACTCCTTTTTCTGAGGAAAGAAGTTACATGTAGAGGGGACACAATTGCACATGAGATACCTTAGAACTGCCACATAGAGAAGCCAGACTGGCATTTTATTTTTTTTACATTCATATGGGAATGCTGGATGGCGCAGTATTTCATTTGTTTCCTGAATCCTTCGGGGTGCATATATAGGGCATTATCTACAGGAATAGCCTTATCTGTCATATCAAAAATGTCCCTGAAATACTCACTATGTGCACAATAGGCTTTTAGTCTCTGAATATAAAACAATTGAATTTCCTGAATTGCTATTTCTAAGGGCTCAGAACCCAGAGTGGGTGACACACATATGAAACATAACAATAAAAAGAGAAGCATGCAATGATTGGATGCATATGGTATTGTGAAACATGTATCAGAAATTTTAGCACTCTATGATAACAAGTAGAAAATTTATCTTTTTTTTTATCTTTAGGACATTTTCTAACAAATTAGTAAACTAATGTAGTATCTTATAAAATAATTTGAAGATAATCACAGAAACAAATTAATCTATACTCCATCTCAGTTATAATTGAAATTTTCTGAGATATCTATACATTTCAAGTGTGCATTCTTTCATAATGTTCTTTGTGTTCTTACAAAATCTAAGTGTTTCATCAATCAGTAATAAAAACTGGACAAAATTTCCCTCTTACATAAGGAATTTTATGCATTCTTCCCCATTACTCTTGGGTCAAGGAATATAATTATACTGTAAACATAGCTCTAAGAAGATAATATAGCATGATCATGTGACATACATATCAGGAATGCAAGGAAACATCAATATTATATAATCTAATGATATCATTTACTATCTTGGCATTAAGAAAATTCAAATAAAAAGGAAAATACACACAAGTGCCTACATAAATGCTGTCAGAAGCCTTTGACAAAAATCAACAGCATGGATTGAAAAAAAACACTGAAAAATATGAGAGTATGTGTTTATTTCTACATTCTACATTCTATTTCTACATTCTACATCTACATTCTTTTGTGTATATATGATAGTGCTTCATTTGTACTCTTCTTATTAAAAACTAATGAGGACTTTTATTTCAATTAATAATTGTTTTTGTTCCATAAGTAGGAGTCAAGGTCATTATATACAAGAGAAAATAAATTAGTATAACAACTCAGGAAGACATAAAACTATTTTTGCATGACATAGTAGTATAATAAAAAAAGTAAAATAAAATGAAATAAAAGAGAAGTAATGTTAAAAATTAACTCAATTAATAAAAGAATTAAGTTAGCAAGATATAAAATTAATACACAAAAAGCAGTAGCCTTCATATACACAAATAATAATTAATTATATAATGAAATTGAAAGGCCATCTATAAAAGATATCACAAGTTACGTTCAGAATTAAAACTAAGAAGAAAGATAAAATGAGGAAAACTCTTAATTACCCTGGAGTGGCCCTGGTCAATGGAAGTCATTTCTCATTCCTGGACATGGTGTCAAACATCATAAAGACGTTGGTGCTCCTTAAGTTAACCTAAAAATGTAATGGACCGGTAAACATAAACACCACATTTTCTCTGGATCCAAATGAGTTGAATCAAATGTTAAATGGAAAATAACATGCTAAGTTAGGTATGAAGATATGAAAGAAGAGTTATGAGCTATTGAGCTGCTCTACCAAATGCTAGAGAATACTAAGATTCTCCATGTTAAAAGTGTTCCACCTGCACACAGAGAGACAAGTAGAACAGAAAAGTATCTACATTTTTAAAATAAAACCATCTATAGTCTTAGATAAAGACATAGATGAATTCATTTGTGATCCCACTTTGGGAAAGACTTTCCAAATACAACTCAAAATCAAAAGACAAGGAAATATTCACAAAATTACAACAAAGAAGTAAACAAAAAAAAACATTTTTATGGCCAAAAACTGTAAGAAAGCATAGTTTCTGCTTCTGGTGTAGCTCAGCACATCCAATTGAATCAATGTACCTGCAAATCATAACCATAGACCCTGCACAAAATATAAAATGTGACTATCTTTAGAGTTCATCAGAATACACTAGCAAGTGAACAGAAACCGGCAGATCCTGGGGAGAGGAAAGTGAATTTTCTACTTTACAAAATGATTCTGATTTCTGAGTCATTGGGGCTTGGTAACCCCCAAAGTGGGGACCCCCAAAGTGACTTAAGCCAAAATAGATCCCCATGGTCCCATTGGTTAAACAAACAAAAAAACTAAACTGAAGATAACTAACTGCAGAGGCCGCAAAGGAGAAAGGAGAAGAATAAGAGAGCTAGAAGGTGGAACCATAAATTTCAGGTGTGACACTTTTCCAAGTCTCTGGCAGATGCCTGAATATCCTCACAGATGCCAAGATGCTCATGGGAGTCTGAAATAACTGAGATGTAACTTTAGAATATGGATTTTTTTGTTTACCCAAATCAACTGTCTGCTGAAACAACAATAATCTATTCTTTAATGTTATGAAAACATAACTGAATGAGGCCTCTACAATGTGTAAGAAGACAACCCAAATTACTAAACTGATAAACAAATAAGAAATGTGACCCATATTCAAGGCAGAAAACAATAAATGTAGACTAAAGCCAAGATCAACCAGAGGTTAGAATTAGCAGACAATAATTTTAAAGCAGATTTTATAGCTGTGATCAAGAGGATAAGAAGAATAAATAGGGAGAAATAGTAAGTACATAGGAAATGAAACGAAAATTATAGAACCAAATAATAAACATTGGCAACAAAAAACAATCATTAAATTGACAGAGAAATCAAAGCTTAAAACAAACAATAGGTCTCACCCAGGTAAAAAACAAATTATAAAAATTGGACAATACATTAAAATCAGTTAGAGGAATTAGAAAACATCTAGATACAGACAGAAACTGTGTGACATTGCAATATAATAATAAATATACATGTTGATTTCTTCCCCTGGTTCCCGACATGGAATAGATAAAACTCTTGCCGATATGTGTGTTAGGAGAATCTTTTGTTCTGATGCTGGTCTCTGACTCTGGTTCTCAGAACTTCTAAACTTTAGTAATTGCCTGAGTGGTATAAGCATCTGATGCAGGTCCCCTAAATCCTTTGGAATTTCCTGGGTGTTGAGAGCATCTTTGTCCCTAATGAGGTGACTCTTGGTAGTCTCCTGGGCAACCTCAGGGTAGGGGCTACTTATCAGGGGAGATAATCTTGAGATTAGAGGGTTGGAACATTTGACTCTACCCTCAATCTCCAGAGAAAAAAGAGCAGATAAAAGTTGAATTGATCTCCAAACTCCAGGGCCTTGATGGTTCCCAAAACAATTATGATTGTATATTGGAGCTTTCATAAAAATAAAAAATCCAAATGGGGTTTGGAAAGCTGACAGATTGCTGAATACACATATAACTGCTTTTGACTGTAGATGGTCACACTCCTGTTGCAAGTCCCAGCAATGAGACTGACCCATTCTTTGCATTTTGATCTACTCATGCTCCCTTTTTAATGTTTTTCCTTCAGCACAAAGTGTAACAAGACTCACTTACCTTCTTCATGAAGAGACTTTTCTATAGAGAAGCAGTGTGGGCTCCATAAAGAATAGTGAGACATAAAGACAATATTCCTAAAATCCTGAAAAATAAAAGACAATCAATAAAAAATTATCCTGAATAAACAATCTCTCACACTAACCTTAGCCCACTTGATCATGCTCCACTTCTTCCATATTGAGGTACCTCCAGGGTTACAGACTGTAGAGCATGAGGAGGAATAACTCATGTAGGTCATAGATCAAATCAGGTAGGGTGATTTAGGATTCCTTCCAGTCAAATTGTGGCAAGGTGATCTCATGGTACTGTTCCACAAGTTGCAAATTCCAACCTTGATCCTGGCTCACAAGGTATGGCCACTGTAATCCATTGTTTCTGATACAAAAAAAAAAAAAAAAAGATGCAAACAGTGAAATTAACTGAGAATTGACCACATGAAACATAGGGTTCTGAGGGTGTTAAATATATCTATTCATTAATTCCTTGACATGGTGAATATCATTCTCACTTGGCAGATAATAACAATGGGACAGGGAGATGTTAAGTGTTTTCCCCAAAGGCTCACAGGTCACCAGTGGTGAATGAGGCAGCTGGACCCAGTAATGAAGGGCTTAAGAGCCCAATCTTAGCTACTCTGTTCTGCTAAAGAGAAATAGTTTCTGCAATGCCAGTCAAACTGTCTAATGGGTTAGCTTCCCCACCCCCGCCCCCCATGCTTAGTCTTTATGGAACAATTTTTAAACTGACACCAGAAAGAAACACAAGGCAAAATAACATAAACAACCAACAAAAAAAACCCTTGGCATTACAAATACTACAGAGGTGGACATCAGTTACAGATAAAAATGAAAATGAAAATGAAATGTACAATTATCTTATTGTACACTGTTTCCAGGCTCCAAGGGGTATGGAATCTCCTGGCTGAAAAGTGCTAGAAAAATCCTTGTATCTTGAAGGGTATTGACTCACAGATGATAATCAGAGAGGACAATGGAATTGGGAAAGACCCAGTCACATAGAAGGAAACATGATGAAATGTGTGGAGAGGAAAAATGGTTGGAAAAATGGAAATGCAGATAAAGGGTGTGGTAGTAACAGTGCTGCCACTCTCTGTGTTTCTGAGCAAGTGCCTCAAGATCCTTTCAGAGAAAATACCAGCCCATACTGTTTATTGATGACTTTCTTATTGGGCTTTACGTCTGGGTATGGGAGTCCCATGTATGTTAATACTGAATTTCCAGTGTCAAATAATATTCTCATCTTATTGTACATAGAAATAAAATGATACACAGATTAAAATAAAATTGTGAAAAACA